CACACACACACACACACACACACACACACACACACACACACACACGATGTGCCTAATTATCCTATTCTATCTCCCTTTGAAAATCAAGTTGCAGACCTTACTCTGTAAGGGGAATGGCAAGGAAGAACATCAAAGTGGCATGGCATTGATTTGAGACACTTACAATGGAATCTGGAGGACTTGTTAAACAACATTTTAGGCACATACCCACCCAGATAGATGCTGACCTTGGGGACTGTGCTGGACCAGGACTCTGGAAGGAAGTTCACTAGCCTTTGTAATAGTTGTGAACTCTCTACCACCCTGCCAGAGGCTGAGATCCTGCCCTATCCTTCTTTTAAAAACTCTTGTCACACCAGTCATGATTCCTGACAAAGTGAAGTAATGAATGCCCCATTTTGCATTCTAAGTTATAAAAGGAGCTCCAATCTTCTAAAACCTTGGAGCATATTTTGAAGGTTACAAATTTGGTGTCTCCCATTGCAACCCTAATAAACCCCAAATAAATGTAATTTTTCTAATTCTTAACTAACTGCCTTGATTTTCTCTTGGTTGGGAGGAACAAAGCATAAAGTAAAAAATAAAATAAAAGAAAGAGAATCCCAAAGTTTCTTTGTTTTTTTTCTATTATTATTATTATTATTAATTTTAACCTTAACATGGGAAAAGCAGCAGCTTGGAAGATATTCTGTTCTTAACAGCCTTAGTCACAGGCTGTGTGTGGGGAGAGATGCCCAGCTTAGTGCACAGGCTCACAACTCAGTCCCTGCCCACCAGGTGCTGCAGTTGACACTTCAGTGTCTATAAAAATGGTAAAAGGTGGAAAGTAGAATCATTTGCAGTTGTCTCAGCTGTAATACATGGGAATTCAAAGACAACGTTTAAAGTTGACATAGCAAATACACATGAAAGCGTGTTTAATGGTACAAAGCCAACAGTAAAATGGAGAAAAGATATTCTACTGATTTAAGAAGGGATTGTAGGAGAGAGAGAGTGAGGAGGGTATAGAAAGAAGACACAAATCCATTTCATTGAAGAATATCATAGAGAATGAATTAATATGTCTAAAAAAAGGGAAATAGGATGTTATGTAGACTTTTAGAAAGTAAACATTATTAATAAACACAATTTTTCTAAATAGCAGAAAAATATTTTTACATAAAAAAGCTAAGAGAACATGAAAGACATTTAAAATATTTTTATTGGGGCATTATAATTACAAACAACAGTGGGATTTGTTGCTACCTATTTGTACATGCACACAATATAACAATATAATTTGGTTAATTTCATTCCTTAATATCTCCCTTTCCAATTCTTATTCCTCTCTTCTGGTCCCCTTCTTCTACTCTATCATTCTTCCTTCTATTTTCAAGAGATCCTTCCCCTACCACCTTTTTTGGGGAAATATTTACATATAGAAATAGAGAATATAATACAACAAGGACAAATAGCAATAAATTAAAGTAGGCTTAACATAACTATTCAAAGAAAAAGATGTTCACATGATCTCAGGAAGGAAAGACTAGCTTTTGCTAAATATAAGAGACACATCTAGAGCAAAGTGACTTAGAAAGGTGACAACCAAAAGTGATGCTCACTGGTTTATCAGATCTACCAGACAGAGACAAAAACACCACCACAGAGAGCATCCTCTTGTATCAACATTGGAGGATTCAGTTCCCAAAGCATTAATGAAAATGGAGATAGCAATTTTATAAGGCTTAAGGTTCAATTTACAATGAAGATGTGTTAGTCATGTCTTTTATCTTCTGAACTTTATAATGCTTTTACATCTTGGAGTCTTGTTGGCAGGGAGAACGGCGGCCCCTCCAGGGTCAGTTAATTCCTAAAGACAGAAAGAGACTCCTCTGCAGGCCTGTGACTTTTTATAGACAACCATCAATCCAAAGCCCACAATCCCTAACTGAGCTTCTTTATTGGTCTGTTCCATTCTTGTCCAATATTCCCTGGCTCTAATCACCCAAGGGCCAGGTACCAACAACCTGAACAGTTCTACCTTTGGAGCTTGCTGAAATTATTAGACTAGCTGATTCTACACCTGCTTATCCTGCCTTGCCCATTCCTCCCACAGAAACCATTAAAATGGCTTTGTCTATGCTTTACCCTTACTCCCTCTTCCTCCTGACAGACCCTGGTACTTCCCTGTGTGGCCCTGCATGGTATGCTGTGCCTCCTGCTTCTAGGGAAAACTTCCTTTATGATACTTACTTCAGTGTCTGCATATCTAATTAAAACAAATTTCAGGTATATATGCAAACAGAAGACATGTGAGGTACAGACATCTGCTTACTATATATTTTTTTTTAAGAGAGACAGACAGAGAGAGAGAGAGAGAGAGAGAGAGAGAGAGAATATGAATGAATGAATGAGAATTTAAATATTTATTTTTTAGTTTTCGGCGGACACAACATCTTGTATGTGGCGTTGAGGATCGAACCCGGGCCGCATGCATGCCAGGCGAGAGTGTTACCGCTTGAGCCACACCCCCAGCCCTCTGCTTACTATATTAAGAAGTAAAAATTACCAGAAGACTCTGAGATAAACACACTGACATACACCTGTTACAGAGAGAATGTCATAGATAGCAGGACAGAATTTTTTTTTCAGTGCTAGGTATGGAACCCAGGGCCTTGCACACATCAGGCAAGTGGTCTACCACTGAGTTACACCCCCAGGGTGCAGGAAAGATTCCAATGCAGTCACAATCAACCTCCAAAACCTGGAGGCAAAACAACAAAGACTTCACCTTTTCTTAGCTACCCATTTACCATGCACTGGCCTAGCTCTGTGCCACCTTCTCACTCCAGGATTCAGGGTGATAGGGTGACCATTCTTCTCTATGGCCTATCTTTTTGGAAGAGGGACAAAAAGCCAGAGAACATATCTTACCAATAGGAACACTCTGGTCCAGAAGTGACCATCACTTCTCTAATAATCCATGACTAGAACTCATCACAGGGTCCTATCTAACCCTGGGGGCCAGGAAGGATGTCCTTCGATGTGCCCATAAGGGGCAGTCAGAGAGTAGAACAGTCTATGAACAGTACTGATGATAAATACAATGGATATAAAATTAATATACTTGAATAAAAAAGCCTTAATATGTCAACATAACGGAAGAGAATATTTCATTTATAGTGGCAAAGATAAAACATTGAGGAATAAATTTAAATGTATAAAACACATATGGGGACACTTATAATACTTCTGAAAGGCAGAAAAGTAAAACTGCATATGCTGTGTCCTTAGTCTTTTTTTTGGGGGGGGGGTTGTACTAGGATTTATTGAATAAATGAATTCCAGGTCTGCCAGGTTTCCTTACTTGCACAGCTGCTTTGGTTCACCCTCATCCTTAGAAACATCCTAACAGGCGAAGACTTTGCTGCTGAATCCCCAGCCTGCCCATCCCTGGACCTAGACTTCCCTCTACCCTATTTCCAAATAAGCACTCAGTCACATGAAGCCACAGGAAGCCCTCGGGGCAAAAGCAGCTATGCTTGCAGTCACCTTTCAGGTGAGGGCCAGGAGACACTGTCACTTAGTAGAAACAGAGGAGAATGAGACATAGGCAAAGTCATTTGGGGCTTTTATGTAAATCTTAAATCCTGAATTAAGAGTGCTCACTGTCTCTGAGAACCAAAACAAACCTACCTGCCCACTCAGGTTCCCAACATGAGGATACCTTTCTCTCTGCACTTCCCAGATGCTTCTAACAGGAATGTCCTGGAGGAGGCAGTGCCACTGCCTGGGTGGTTCCAGGACAGTATGCAGCATAATGGAGGCCATGGTCTCCTCCTCTGCTTGGCTAGACATCCTCATTGCCTTGGTTGAAACGTGACCTCTGCCTCCTTGGAACCCTGGGACCTCCGTCAAGGAGGTTAAGGAGCAGGCCACAGTGGGAGAAAGGCTAGTGTGGAGAGTGTCCAGTGTGGCCCTGGGAAGGCCTGGGAAGGTGGAATCAGGCAGAAGGTGGACAAACAAGCAGCCCAGGTACTTCTGGGGGATAGGCAGGACCTGTGCCATCGTCTCACCCCTCTGGGATAAAGGGCCAAATCAGTTCTGGATCCCACAGTGACTCCTCAAGAGGCCGGTCCACATGGAAGTCATGGACATGAGGAGGTCCCGGGTGGGCCTTAGGAGCAGGCCCCCCTGGGCGCTGGGGAATTGGCAGCTCAGATGGGTGGGAGGGAAAGGGAGCTGTGAAGAAGTATTGATGCAGGAAAGCCTCGGAGGCTGCAACGCGCTGGCAAGGAGGGTAGAGGAGGAACTGACTCAGCAGGTCCAAGGCCTGAAGAGAGGCGTCTGACAGGACCTCCTCCAGGGGCATTGGCGCCTGTTCCTTAAAGGAGATCTTGTTGTAGTCTGGCAGCTCTGTGATCTCTGGCCAGACTTGAGGGCTAGGGGTGCCCAAGATGCGAAGCACACAGCAAAGCTGTTCAATGTCGTTCTCTCCGGGGAAAAGAGGGGACCCATTCAATAGCTCCCCCATGATGCAGCCCACAGCCCATAGGTCAACGCCCTGGTCATATTGGCGGGCACCATACAGGAGCACAGGGGCTCGGTACCACCTGGTAGCCACC